TGTGTTTATGATGATCACACAAGTTCTTCTAGATCTATATCATCTGACCCTCACAAGCAAAAGGATGGGGTACAATTGCAGACAGCTTCTCAAGAATTCATCAGGTCTAGTGTCCTTCAACAGTCACTCGGATTGGCACATCAAGATTTGTCTAGAAGTATCAAAGATATCAATAAGAAATGTGACAAGCTGATGAGAAAGCTGCTGGAACAGCAAGCAAAAGAGAAAGAGGAGTTCCTCAGAAAGTATAAAGACGACAAGGCAGAACTTGAGCGCAAACAGAAAACCGATGCAGCTGTGATTCGCTGTCATAGTCATGGTTCAATGAGAGCAGATAAACTCAAGTCCCTGGAGGCCGAATATGCCAAAAAATTTGTAGAACTGGAAAAGAAGAGGGTGGCGTGCCTTAACAACCTTGAGGCAATGCAATCTGCCACAAGGAAAAAGTTGGAAGAGAGAAAAGTGAAATGGGTTGAAGGAGTGGAAGCCTGGGCAAAGGAGGAATTGATGCCTAGGCTGCCTCCAAATGAGACTGGCCAGACTCCCGGAATGGCTGTCTCTTTTAATGTTCATCCCAAGGAGTTTCCTGGAGTGCGAGGAATGTCAGATATACAGAGGCCATCCAATATTTGCGAAGTTGTAAACTTAAGTGATGATGAAGAAGAAATAACCCAATTGGTAGAGTCTGCCGTTGAAGTGATTCCTGAACCAGCTTTAACCAGGCATGTTGAAATAGCACCTGGTGGAGTTACCCCAGGAATGTCGGCATCTTGTGGTGCTAGGGTTGTTGAGCAGGAGGGAGGAATTTTATCTGCAGCATCTGAAAGACTGATGGCAGACCAACTAAAGGATAATAGTTCTCCTCAACTTCAAGTTGAACAGAGCAATGTCAATGGTAGAGAGAAAGCTGGAGTTGGGGCTACAAACTTATCGCACACTGCTGGAGTTCATCTCCAAAGAGAACTTGTTAAAGAAGTTCCTGGAAGTGCTAAAAGTAATTTAGTAGAGTCCGAAAGACTTGTGGCAGACCAAATACTTAAGGATAATAGTTCTCAACTTCAAGCCGAGGAGAGCGATGCCAATGGTAGAGAGAAAGCTGGAGTTGTGGCTGCAAACTTATCGCACACTGCTGGAGTCCAAGGTGAACTGGTTTCAGAAGTACTTGAAAGAGCTAACAATAGTCTAGTAGTAGAGTCTGAGAGACTGGTGGCAGACCAACTACTTAAGGATATTAGTTCTCCTCAACATCAAGCTGAGGAGAGTGATGTCAATGGTAGAGAGAAAGGTGGGGTTGAGGCTACAAACTTATCGCACACTGCCGGAGCTCATCTCCAAGGTGAACTGGTTTCAGAAGTACCTGAAAGAGCTGACTGTAGTCTAGTAGTAGATAATGCTCATAGAGATACGGAAGATGGCAATATCACGAGGATTGAGAAAAGCAAAGGGTCTGTTGAGCACCATGGCAGCATGATGCCAGCAGAAGTTCCTAATGTATGCTCGGAAGATGTTCATGTCGATACCACTGTTGCATTTGATGAGAGTATAGACAAACTCCGTTTGTGTGTTGTGGAGTCGTCTCCTGGAATCATGGTAGAGCAGCGGGATCGGGTAAGTCCTGTAGTTCCTGATACTGCTGCTACAAATGCAAGCAATGTTGGAGACTTGCCCAGAGTGATAAATGGAGCATCTACTAATATATTGGACAGCTATCAGAATGATGGAAGCAGAATGCAGGATATAGCAGCATCCACCCCTGCCAATAGAGATGCTCGTGTAGAACTTTCTGGGGAAAACTTGCCCCCTCTGACGATGCTAACTGAAACTTGTTCAGCTGGAGACTCTTTGAAGGATGCATCCTCTGGTGAAGTGAATCAGCAGGAGTCTATGAGAGTGTCTAACATGAGCGTTGAAGTGGCTAATGGCAGCAGCACGCTTCATGGTAAAGACACTACTGAGGCTCATAATAGCAACCAACAGCAACCCTGTGATATGGTGGATTCATTATGTGCTGCTGCTGAAGGAGAAGTGCGTCAACCGGATGCAGGAGTCCATGAAACAACAGTAGCCACTGAAGTTATGGTGGGAGTGGGGGTCTCCCCTGGGGAGATCAATGATGTAATCTCTGCTGAGATATTAGATAATCAGAATGATGAAGTTATAGTAGGTGATATAGCTGCTCGTATCACCACGAGCCAAGATGATAATTCCCAAGAAACCTTGCTAACAAATTCAGCCTCAGTGCATGATGGTGTGATTCCAGGTGTCCCAGATACAGATACTAGAGATTTAATGAATGTTGGAGATTCGTGCAGAGAGAACAATGGATCGTCTGCTGGTGGTGGTCAAGAGTGTGTGTCTTCTGAAGAAGGTACTGCAGTGGGCCAGCAGGACAGAACAGTGATTCCACCAGTTCTGGGGACAGCCAGTACAGAAAGAATGGATCTGGGGAACTCTCCTAGAGAAAATGGTCATGTATCTACTGAGCTTGACAATGAAACAGTTGGGATTTTGGTACAGGATGTATCAGCTTCTACTTCCAATAGAGATGATGGTTCAGAAAAAAGTCCGCTGACAAATTCAACTTCTGTTCCACCAATTCCGGAGACAGTCAGTGCTGAAAGAATGGATGGAGGGGACTCTTGCGGAGAAAATGGTCATGTATCTACACAGCATGAGAACGAGGCTGTCGGGATTTTGGTACAAAATGTACCAGGTTCTACTTCCAACAGAGATGATTGTTCAGAAGAAATGCTGTTGACAAATTCAACTTCAATTCAGCAGCCAGAAGCTGCTTCTGCGCAAGTCAGCCAGTTCCTGAACCAGGTTGGTTATTGAAAAGGCTGATTACTTCTCTTTTTCATGATAAGTTTATGGTCATTTGTGCACTATAAGATTGATTCTTGAGGCTTCTATTTTGGATGCCAACTCTTCTCTTTTTAACTCGACTGACAATTGTAATTGCTCAATATGGTTTAGCCTGTTCAAAATGAAGCAGCTCTACAGCCAGCAGCATCCACTAGAACGAATGTTTCAGAAACTCTACCAGCTGCACCTTCTACCTCAGCAATTGGTGCCCGGATTTTACAAGCTACACCTGTTTATCGAGTACCTTTACCATTGGGCCATGACCCTCTCCAAAATGAATTGGATAGGATACGCCGCGAATCGGATCACATTGCCAATGTGCATGAAAAGGAGGTCATTTTTCTATGTTCTCTCCTGATGTGTTACTACAGAACAGTTTTTAAAAGTAATACCTTGAGTAATAACCTCTGAAAATTTGCTCCTATATGCAGAAGATGCAGTTAAAATCCGACTGTGAGAAGGAAATAGAGGAAGTTGTTGCTCAAATTCGCAATAAATATGAAGTTAAGATGAAAGAGAAGGAAAAAGAATTTGAGCTTAGTAAGCGGGAACTGGATGCAAATCATAATAAAATCCTCATGAACAAGATCCTGGCAGAGGCTTTCAGGTCCAAATGCATGGATATCAGGGCATGTAATTCGCCTGGAGTTCTACAAGGTAGGTACTGATGTTCTACTAGGTTTTTAATTGCATTAGCTGTTTATTTTGTTAGGTTGCTTCTTATGAGCAGACCAATATATGGATGGCATAATCAGAAGCCTACATGGCATATGAAAATCATGCCTAACAATATATCATTGATCAGATGACATTGACACTTACATTATTCTCAGCGCAAAGAACGCCTAAGAAAAGCCGTCTAGTTGACTGATATGCTTAGGGTTGCTGTAGAAGATATGCTTAGGGTTGCTGTAGAAGTTATGTCTAGTGAAGAGAGAATTCAGGATTACTCTTGTTGAACCTCTGAGAACACAAGAATCCCAAAAATGGGAAGCAGTTTCCTCTGTTAAATGTCCACTCCACAGTTTGTTTGGGAACCAATCTTTGATTAGATAAGTTACTACTCAGTCCAGCATACTGGATCCCTAACTATCACTTGTTTCCCTCCTCCCTCGCAGACGCTGCTGCCACTTTCATGCAGCAATTCCGACAGATGGCTTCGCTGCCTCCGCAGGGATACTCAGGACCCCGATCTTCTGCTTCTCCTTCTTCTCGCCCTCTGCCACCGCCTGGGGTTCTAACCGGAGATAGTCGGCAGACTGCTAGTGCTCTACCTTCTCCTTCCTCGACCACCACCTCTAGGGCACAAGCTGTTTTTCATCACTCCACATCACAACCTCTCTCAAGCTCTCAATTCAGGCCACCTACTATCAACTCCATGTCATCCCCTGCCACCACTGGCACCGCTACCAATCATCTCCATATCGATAGCCAGAATCGAGCGCCTGCTCCACACCTTCAAGCTCTTAGACCTACAGCAGCATCTATGGCGCCGCCAGTTACTACCAACATCCCTCATGGGATGATGCAACTGCCAAATCAGCGTGTCTCCACTGTCCTTCCCTCTTTGACTGTGCTGCCCCAGCATCCGCATCAGCCTGAAGCAGCAACAAACCCTGTCCAGCAAAACAATGACGTGGTTTGTTTGTCCGACGATGATTGACCGTGTTAAACGCGACATCATCCATTTTGCATCCCATAACTTAACAGTTGAAAGCGGATGGGAGGAGGACTCCAATTGTTTTAACATGTGCAGGGAATTCCTCAGCTGTATATCTTTCTTGTGAACAGTTCTGATGTAATAGCTATTTTCGTCATAGTTTGTGGTGTGGAATGTTTATATATTCTTCTACTTCAGCTCCTTCCCAGTCACTTCGCACCACCACCTCGTTGTCGAATCTCTGCTATCAATTCTTCGCAAACTCGAGTTCCGATCATCTCTTCTTCGGTCGATGGATGTAAATGCAATCTTATCCTTGTGTGCGTGGATCAAATGTGCAGTGTTATTGTTTCTTGTCAAAGTTGTACTAAGCTAGATTGACTGCCTTCTGATTTTCACCTCGTCGTTAAGGTCGATATATTCTTGAATTTGTAATTATATATTTTTTGCCATGCTACTGTGAGTTGATCCTTTTATTGCTCATTTTGACTTTTGAGGGTCAGTTTCCACTATGGCTTATTAGGAAAGCATTACACTACACCATGTCGTCCGAAGCTCAATCCGCTGCTAGAATGGTGAGTTTCTCGAGCTGTACTTCCATTTTTTATTACCAAACCACAACCAGCACCATTGCATTATAACAATGATACATATTCGCTATTGTAACAATCATGTGAAACCAAAAATCTTGACATTATATAGCCATGATCAATAAACATTTGCAAGATACATTCTCATGGATTACCAAAACATGCACCCAATTACCATATGGTAGTTCACAAAAAAAGAGCAAGTTACTTGTTGTGATTGTTGACGATGTAATCACCGACGACGTGGGCAATAGTGATCAGTGGTTGGATGGAGAGTTGGGAGAGAAGGTGCGCTTTTGAATCGTTCTCGAGCTCATACTTGATTGTGGATCTAATAATACAATGATTCGGTAGCGTGTTGTTGTCGATGACCTCAACTCGTATGGTATAATGATCAAAACCAAGATGTAGGAAACCACCTTCCAACGTGTCCGACTCCTTCACACGCTTCTCGTCATCCATGATTCTGAACACTTCTTTTAGGTATCCAATTCCGGGAGTTCCTAATCACGCCACAGACCAAAACTATCGATATTACAATTAGGAATGATAATGAGGCAAGTCGGTGGAGGTACTTTGGTACTCATACCTATGGCAGGTTGGGTTTAGGTCGAGTATGTTATACTCTTACATGGATCAGGGCATTCGGTCGACCATACAAGTATGTATTTTAAAGTAAAAAAAAAAAACACTTAGCCATACAATTTTTCATTAAAAAAACAAACTATGACATGATAAATGAAGTTAGATTCGAGAAATGGATCTCACCTAAAATTATCATAATTTGGACAAAATTGAATCGAGAATGAAACGAGTCAAGTCGAAGTGAATACAATCAATACCTATCCCACCCCATCTATATATAAAACGAATAACCAAAATATGTAGAACAGATTGAGTAGAACGTGTCAGGTTGAAATTCTCATCCTAATTATTAGGATAATTCACTATTGTACATATATCTTTTTGACTTTTTGTTGTAAAAGAGAGTACTGGAAGTTTACAAACCTGGAGGAAAAACGAGCTTGACAATCGTGCCGGCGGATCCATCTCCCTCCACGACCTCCACGGTGCCGACGAGGTGAGGCATCAGCTCATTCACCAGCCGGGAAAGCTCCAGCCCTCTGTACGATTCCCACACCACGCTCGCCGGAGCTTCCACCGGAAATTCGTGACATATCTCCCCTCTTATTACGCCCATCTCTTCTTCTTCTTCTACCTTTCTTGCACTAAAATATATAGTGCATGTGAGCTTGCGTCTGCTTTGGGTTGTCCTCGATTATTTCTTATAATCTGTGTTTTATTCTGCTTCGTTTTCCTTTTTTCTAAGCTTTGCATTTTGTCAACTCTATGACATGGGGGTGTTGCGCTCACGTGGTTAATTAATTGTCGCCGAATTCAATGTTTGTGCACTGGTGGAACTTTCCGGTGGACCGAACTCAGAATGTACAATGGCCTACTATTATTTGCAGATGATGCATATATTCTATAAGTATAATATTCTCCACTATTATAATGTTTTATCAAACATGCCTATCTACTATTTTTTACATCAAGCATGCCCTTGTACTTTGTAAAAATGATCAAACATGCCCTTTTGTTAAAATTTTCATCCAAAAACCGTTAACCAAGGCCGAACTTTAGTTTGGGCGACACAAATGACTAAAATATACCTAATAAATTCACTTTAGAATTTTTTTTGGTTCTTTTGTATAATGAAATCATTCAAATGATTTCACTTTGAAAACACTCAGGGACATAAAACAGGGGACAAAACTGACATTTTTCCTCCCATTTGCCGATGTCAGGTCGTCTAAATTTTGATTCAACCATTATTGACCAATTTTTCAATGGAAATTTTAACAGAAGGCCATTTTTGATAATTTTTTTCAAAGTACAGGGACATATTTGATATAAAAAATATTAGAGGGGCATATTTGATAAAACGTCATAATAGATGAGCATATTATACCTATAACCCTATTCTAACATCAGAGATTCCAAACCATCCCGTGTTCGGGATTTTGATCCCATTTATATGGGTTATAACTTATAACATTCATTGTAAATATATATATGCAAATGTACATGTTTATTTTATTTAAACATATGCAAGATACATGCTCGGGATTTTGTAGCCTGACGATGTAATATCCCTCTTGTATATAATTGTGATTTATTTGCTTCCTTTCAAGTTTCATGGCCTACTATTATTTGTTAGGTTATGACCCGGGAGTTACCCGTTCACATGTTTATCACCAAATTTTGCACCTGAACTTTCCTGTGGACCGAACTTGTACGATCAACCTGCAGTACACTAGGCCAACCAAGATGAACATGATGATGGGTTCCATTTTTCCCCCCGATGAACATGGGTTCCATTTTACTAAACTAAAGTGTTAAAATTTCTATTAGATTTTTTATCCATTTAATTTATTTTGGATGTTAATATCTGTTATTACTGTTGGGGGCATCAGAGAAGAAGCCCAATGAAGAAACCCAATTGTTAAGACTAAGTAGAGAGGTCCCGGAAGAGGTCCAATGAGGTATAGTTTAGCCTAGTGTGTGGGGTCCGACGGCAACAAAACTAGGGATGGCAATGGGTCGGTTTGGGTCGGGTTTTGTCAAACCCAAACCCAAACCCATGGGTTTATCTTTGAAAAAAACCCGGGGTAAAACCCACTGGGTTTGAAAAACTCAAACCCAACCCAACCCGTTGGGTATTCGCGGGTTCATGGGTACCCACGGGTTTTGTCGTAAAAAATTTACAATTACAAGTTCTTATCAAAATTAAAGTCAAATATCAATCTCTCAATACAAATTATACATATACAAAACACCATTCTAGAAAATTCAAGCAAATCACAAATTAAGTATACAAATTGTTCAACACCAATCTAGAAAACTCAAGAAAATTGAAGCAAATCACAAATTATCCATAAATAACATGTTTAATTGAAAACTTCTTCCTTTCAATTAAGTTTCTTTACTCTCCACTCCATAACATCAACTTCATTCTACACAATTAAAAAGAAAAAATTAAACATGTATCCACAAACATAAATAAGATTAGTTGTTTAGAATATTAAATGTACCAAAAAAATTAATTATATGGGTGGGTGGGTACCCACGGGCCGGGTTTACCTAAACCCAAACCCAACCCAACCCGATGAATAGTGAGCGGGTTTAAACGCAAACCCGGCCCAAAACCCGTCAACACGGATTTTACCCGCGTTGACCGGGTTGGGTCGGGTGGGTATCCGTGGGTTCGGGTTTTGTTGCCATCCCTAAACAAAACCCTGCCCAGTTGGGGCAATGAGTCAGGAGTAGAGGTGGGACCTGTCTCTGACACAAGGCGCATGCGGACAAAATAGTATAACGGTCGGAAGTGTACGGAGTTCATTGCAGATGAGGTCAGACGTCTCGAACCTCTGACCGTGGTGTTAGGTGGCCGAGGCGCGTGGTACGGAGCATTTATTGCGATGAGGAAGTGGGGCGGATTCGAAGGACAATGGTCGGTCGGCCGGCCAGCTTTCGGGTATAAATAGTCGAGTATGTGAACCTCATTTACCGAGGTTGAATTCTCTCACTAAAACTTTGCTCTACTTCTCTCTCTAAAATCGTGGTGCTAACTTGACCGTCGGAGGAGTGCTTAACGAACTCCAAGGTCCGTTGTGCGCCTCCTGTGCAGGGGTCTAGACGCTTCAACCGTATGGAACCAAAAGAGATCGAGGCGCTTCAGGAATGAGAAGGAAGAACGTGGCATAAACAATTACCTAGAGATTAATTTTATTATTTTAATACACACTTTCTTCCTTGTTATTTGATGTAGGTTCCAATACAAAACTCATACTATATACATAGATCTACAAAATTTTATTATTTTGCTACGATGATTTACAACATGGACTCTGTTAGGCCAAAGCACAATGTAGTCAGTTGGTACAAGCTTTTATGGAAAGGGCTTTCTATTCCTAGGAACAGATTCCTAGGAACAGGTTTCTTGTTTGGCTCATTATACACAACAAAATTCAAACCAAAGACAAGATGCAGAAGTGGGGTTTTGCTGGCTCTGATCACTGCTCCCCCTGTGATCAGGCAGGTGAGACAAGGGACCACTTGTTCTCTGCCTATCCCTATTATTCTACTGTTCATCAGCTGCTGTTGGGGAAGTTTAGCTCTTTCTCTCCAGAGAATTGGGAGGAAAATCTTGACTGGGCTATAAGGAAGTTTGGAGTTAAGTCTGTGTGTGCAATGACAGGTTGACTGATATGACAGTCTATGGTGAGTCATGTTTGGAGAGAGCGTTGCAGGAGGGCTTTTGGTGGCAGCAGGAGGTCTCCTGAGGCTCTGGCTTTAATGATAAGAGTGAAGTTTGTGTTCTGGTGCAGGATTTGAAGGAATTGGACAGGTTCTGGGTTCCTGGTTCTTAGCTTCATTAAATCTCATACCCGAGATTGATGTTTCCTGTTTTGGTATAGTCGGCTGGTTTGTTTTGTTTCCTGTTTATGGTTTCTGATTTTGGTTCCACTAACAGTTTTGATCTCATTCCCCTAACTGGTACGGGTGTTGCCAGCACCACTTTTTTGATGGAATGAAAGTATACCGATTCATAAAAAAAAAATTTACAACATGGACCTGTCCACTAATAAATTGACACCATTATGTGGAGGTTCCATTTACACAATAGTGTATTAGTGTGTGGCTGCTATCATCTCCACAAATTCGAATAGTTCGTTGCATCATTAATGAAGGGAAAATAGATATAGAATGATAGCACCGATAATTCTAGTCATAGAGACATTTCACCTCATCTATAATTCGGAATTGGAATAGCCAAATACGGGGAAATCTATGTTTCGTCCAAGACAAGGATATAATATACCTAAAACTATTGGGTTAATACTTTATTTTGGTCTAAACTATGACCATATAATCAATTTTGGTAGTAGTTTCGGAAATTAACATCCTGACCTCAACTATACAACATATTGACTCAATTGGCCTGACACATGGTTTGACTGTCAATTTGGACGGTCAAAACTGTTGATCGTTAGTCAACATGCTAAGTCATTACCTCGTCAGAATAAAAATCATTAAAAATATTCAAATTCAAATTATTTTCATAATTTATATTATTTATCATTATCAAATTAACCAAAAAATTAAAATTATAAAAATATTAAATAAATTTAATATTTTATTTTTTGGGTATTTTGAAAATGATAAATTTTACCAATTAACCAAATATTATAAAATTATTTTAAATTTTATTTTTAGTTAATTTGAAAATGATAAATAATAAAAATTAGAAAAATAATTTAAAATTTTTAATAATTTTTAGGCTGACAAGACAATGACATGGCGTGTTGACCATCCAAATTAACGGTCAAATCATGTGTTGGGCCAATTGAGTTTATATGATGCATAGTTCAGACCAATATGTTAATTTCTGAAACCACTAGTCAAAGTTGATTATATGCTTATAATTTAGGCCAAAATAAGGTGTTAGCCCAATAGTTTTAGGTATATTATATCCTTGTCTTGGTCAACCATTCTACAACCTAATTGATGATTGTCAATTAAGTCCAAATTTGAGACAAAAAAAAATTCATGTACATTTTGTTTTAGTGGTGGTAGATCTGTACTGAGTACTGAGGATATAATTCAAGGCTCCATAACCAATCTAAACTTATCAACAACAACAACAAAAAAATCATAACCAACGATATAATACAATCATGGAGATCTGTACTGACTATTGACGCGTGGCATAATGAAAGAAGAAAAAAATATAATACAAACTATACTTCATTGCAATTTTTTTTATTATTATAAAAAAAAATCAACGAGCTAGTTAGTAGTAATGCCGTACTGGTTGCTATCCAGCCAAGCCGCACGTTTTTTTAGCACCAAGTCAGCTCCAGCCTCCATGGTTCACCAACTATGAAGAAAGCAACGGCGTTCTTACTTACCACGTACACAGCCGTTGGATCCACATTCCACACTCTATCCCTTCACAATCGTTGGATAAGTGTGATGCCAATTAGGGCTGCAAATGAGCCGAGTTGTTCGCGAGCGGCTCGGCGTTCGACTCGAGAAAAGCTCGTTCGAAATTCGGCTCGTTAATAAACGAGCCGAACACGAGCTCATGACCTTTGTTCAGCTCGTGAAGCTCGCGAGCTAGCTAGACTCGGTGGCTTGTTGAGCTAAACTCGTGAGCTGGCTCGTTTAGAGCTCATGATATGTTTTAACATGTGGCTAGAGAGCCAACTCGATTACCAACTTATGAACGAATCAATCTATATCTTATGATTTTAATTCATATGGTTGTTAATTTATATATCTCACAATTATAAAGTTTTGCACGTTGAGTATGTGAGCAAATATATCTTATTTTCTATTTTAAAAAGAAATTGGCTCATTTGCAGCCCTAATGCCAATCCTACAAATATAATGGTAAGCATTAATTCAAATCAGTTGCGAGATCGGTTCGAGTTTAGTTATCATATCGTTTGGTTCATAATTCGTAACTATTCATTATCACGTTGCTTAATATTAATTAGTATCTGAGCAATTTATGATACATAATTTCTCTTTTAACTTATTAAATGAGACATATTAGGACACGTGCTCAAATTCTTATAATGGTGTGATATATATAATTTAACCATTTATGAATTATCAACAAGTCAATGATAAGTTATTAAATGATTCGCTCATAAGTTACTAGCTAGTTGAGGACCTGAACCAACTCACCAGCGGTACTGTCGCGCGAGAACGAGCTAGCTAGCTCAACAAGCCACCAAAATCAAATTGGCTCTTGTGAGCTGAGCCCAATAAGCAATTTAATCCGAACTCGACTGGTTTGTAAATGAGCCGAGTATTAAACGAAGAGTTGGCTCATTTGCTTCCCTAATACGCAGTAAAAGAAAATTATTGATTGCCTCATCTCCCATAGTACTCCATGGCAGCACAGAATCAAGGTCACGAAGACATCCAACTGCAAGTCATTACACGTCCACCGGCCGACGACGGCCCATCTCCGCAACCGCCCGGCCCACAGCAACAGCAACAACAACAACTCGTCGTCGTCCCCAAAACCAAACAAATCAAGTGGTGGTTAAAAGTCCTCACCTACACAGCAATCATACTAATCTCCCAAACCGCCGTCGTTTTACTCGCCAGGCTCTACTTCGTCAAGGGCGGAGCCAGCAAGTGGCTCGTCACCACCGTCCAGCTCGCCGGCTTCCCTCTCCTCATCCCTTACTACCTCTACCACCACCTCACCAAAAACCACGCCGTCGATGGTGGTGACCGGCGACAACCGTCTTCAAACTTGACACATGGAGCTTTTTACACGATCGTCGGGCTCCTCACCGGCGGGAGCACGTACCTCTACTCCACGGGGATCGACTACCTCCCCGTCTCGACGTCGACGCTCATCGCGTCGTCGCAGCTGGCGTTCAACGCCTTCTTCTCCTACTTCCTCAACTCCCAAAAGTTCACTCCTCTCGTCGTCAACTCGCTCTTCCTCCTCACCGTCTCCTCCGTCCTCCTCGTCTTCGCCGGGGACCCCGCCGCCGACCCCAGGGGGATCACCAGGGCCAAGTACACCGTCGGGTTCTGTTATGGGACAATCCAAGTACCACATCGGTTGTACAAGGAAAGGAATTCTTGTATATAAGTGTCCACCAAGCTCATTAGTACGAGGCCTTTTGGGGAGGACACCCAAGAGTAAAACCGTGCGGGCTTGGCCCAAAGCGGACAATATCGTACTAATTGAGCTCCCCGATTTGACAGGTTCCTCTGCACTGTCGCCTCCGCGGCCGCGTCGGGGCTCTTCTTTTCCATCTCCGAGTACGCCTTCAGAAAAGTTCTCAAGGTGAGTGGGAAAAAAAATTCCAACATACAAGGGTTAGTAAAAGAATTCCTCCACAAAATATTTTCGAAAATACTAGAGTTTGGAGCAGTTCGTTGGAGTGTACAGTAAATCAAATTTTACTTCTCTAGAGTATTATATATGCGGCAATCAATAGTATGTCGCGGCTGAAAAAAGCATGAAAAAAAACTTGGTGGATGGATCTCGCGCAGCGAGATCGATCAAAGCCAATTGCACCAAACTTTAGGTGGATCGCTCCGCGTTGGACACCCTTGCGATTTACACCTAATTATCCAAGTCAAAACTTCTAACGGACGTAATTTTACTGCGCGATTATCTTATCGTAGCTAATTTTTTATTCGAAAAGTCAACATAATTTTTTATTTATTTTGAATAACCAAGCGCAAAATTACGATAGCTGGAAGTTTCCGACTCGAATTAGGTGTAGATTGCATTATTATTAATTTGTAACGTGTTGTATTGTGAGAATTTATTTTTATTAATTAACTCCTGTATTTTGGGATTTTTTTTCCCCTCCTGATGAGGTGCGGAGCCTGAAGGTGGTGATGAACATGCTGATGTTTCAAGGGATGGTGGCGAGCGGGATCGGCGCGGTGGGGCTGTTCGCCAGCGGCGACTGGAAAGGTCTGAGGAAGGAGATGGGTCCGGATAGTATAACAACAGCTCCTCTGTTGTTATTGTAACAACATGATTCATTAAGGGTAATAGGGTAATTTAACATAAAAAAAATTATTTGCGGAGAAGACTCAATGCTGACGTAGACTCGGTTCGGTTGGTTTCTGAAAGATTTTAAGATATTTTGTGATCCAAGTGATGCGCCGCCGAATACCCGAACCCGATGGCATGCCTCTCTTCTGCTCAACTCAACCCTTTTGCTGCTCGGACTCTGGCTCTCTCTTCTGCAGATTGACGTTGTTGTAGCAGAAAGTAGATTCCACCAGAGAATTCGTTCCCAATAGGTACCAATCTCGTTTTTCTTGCTTAAAATCAAGTAAATTCCATTCGTATTTCCTGGTTTAAACTTTGGTCTGCTTTCATTGTAAAGGGAAAATGGCAACTCTTTCTCCATCACTGGCAATATCGACCTGCGGCTGCCGCAATTGTGGAGCTCTCAAGCCTTCTAAGCTCACACTCGCCAGATCTTCCCTTACGGCCGATTCGCTCACTTCGCCGCCAATTCGGCCATGGTCGAGTCGATTCTGGCAGACGCCGAGACCGTCCACAACGTCGATTTCGACGTCGGGGAAGGCGTCCAGTCACCAGTGGCCGCCGGTGATCGAGGCTCTGGCTCGCCTCGGGAAGAAGTCAATCTGACCGTCGTAGATTGGGAATCGCAAGCCACGGGAACGGATCAGGACTCCGATTGGGCGCCGGCGATGTGGAACCTGGAGGAGGTGAAGAGGCGGACCATTCTTGCCGGGTCGGGTCGAACCTGATCATCGAATCAACCCGAATCGAAGATTTGGCAGGGGGAATCAGGGGAGCAAAGCGCGCGAGCGAATGTCGTGTGTTCAATTGTATGGTGGGGCTTCCGCACATGAGGAGGGCGAGGATCAGGAAAATGGTGGAGGAATTCCTGACGACGGCGAACGAGTTGGTGGCCGAGTCGGGGAGAGGGATGGTGACTCGGGGAGACGGGGAAGCTTGGGAGCATTTGAAGGGTTGCTCTGGGTTCGGATCCTTTTTGAAGGGAACATGGTCTATTACAGGTCCTTGTTGGAGTCAATTGAGCTGAATTTTCCGGAGCTGGCCGAGGCGAGGATGGCGCTGGAATGTCTGTTCGTGGCGCCGTTCATATCGTCGGAGGCGTGGTTCCTAAAGTTTATCATATTTTTTTTTGTTTTATGATGTATCAGAAGCATTCTAATGTAGAACATAAGTCTCGTGAAGCAAAACGGAAACATCACAAAGTGAGCCATAAATATTTTTAAATCACACCAAAAACTTTATTATACAAACCATAACTCTCCTAAAACAAACCAAAAACACCACAAAGCACACCAGAAGCTTCATAAAACAAACTACAAACACGGTAAAACAAACCATAAAAAACATACAAAAAACTTCCCAATGCATGCCACAAATTCGCTAAAACAAACCAGAAACACCACAAACCAAACCACAAATATTTTGAAAGCACACCAGAAAACTCATAACGCAAACCATAAACACCGTAAAACAAACCACAAAAACAAACCAGAAACGTCCTAATGCAAACAAAAAATATATTAAAACAAACTAGAAACCTCACAAAGCAAACCACAGAATTTTCAAAAACACACCAGAAACCTCATAATACAAACCACAAACACGTTAAAGCAAACCACAAAAACAAACCAGAAACCTACTAATGCATACCACGAATCTCCTAAAACAAACCAGAAACCCGTCAATGCAAACCACAAAGTTTTTGAAAGCAAACCAGAAACTTCTCAATGCAAACCACAAACACGATAAAGCAAACCAAAAACTTCTTAATGCAAACCACAAACACGATAAAGCAAACCACAAAAGACATACAAAAATATGAGAAACCAAACCATAAATCTCACAATGCAGACCATAACATCCGGTGGTCGTTCGTCGTTGACCGGTCAACGAAGACCGTTGACCGGTCAACGAAGTTCGTTGACCGAACTCCGATGACCGTCAGTTAGTAGATTCCGGCGCCGATAAGCATATTCCGGCCCTGATGACTAGATTCCGACGCCGATAAGCATATTCCGACCACGGTGAGCATATTCCGACGACGGTGGCATATTCCGATGACAAAATAGCATATTCCGGCGACAAAAAAACATATTCCGGTGACCGGCGACCGGTGGCCGAATTCCGACGATCAAAATTTTGGGCCGAAAATAAAAAAATATTTTTTTATTTTTTTATTTTTTATTATTATTTAAATATATTTTTCATAATGACAATTATACCCCTACTTTGATTTTACACTAGGTCAACTCATCTAATAAAAAGTCATCACAACCCTAACTTCCTATTGGTTGGAGACTAGTGTTGTTACAATAACAACACAAGGAGTGTTGTTATAGTATCTAGTCCCGAAGGAGATGGACGACTACAAGCTCGGGAAGGCGGGGTACGTGATGACGTTGGTTTGGACGGGCGTGACGTGGGAGATATTCGCGGTGGCGACGATGGCGTTGGTGTTCGAGGTGAGCTCCGTGTTCTCCAACGTCGTCGGCACCGTGGGGCTGCCACTGGCGCCGATCATGGCGGTGGTGGTATTCGACGACAGGATGAGCGGTGTCAAGGCGGTGGCGATGGTGCTCGCGCTCTGGGGCTTCCTTTCTTACCTCTGCCACCAGTACCTGGACGGCCGTCGGGAGAAAGAATAAGGAACAGTTTGATCACTAATCCAGTATGTTGTGCTCTTGTTTTCCCCTTTCTTGGTAATAATGCTACGAAAAAAAAAAGACTAGAAAGCAAGGTTGTCAACCCGCGGCTTGACCCGCGGGTCCACCCACTTTGATTCTGACTCGGTGAAAAAAACGGGCCGCACCCACTCGCCGGGCCGACCGCTATAAGGTACCGGGTTGGAGGTCAAATTGTGTCATTTTTTTCATTGGTTTGCGAAATATGCCTATTTTCCGATTTTTCTTTTCGCCTAGCTCAATTTTTGGAATGCTAAGTTGAACATTTGAATATTTATGTTATATAAGTGTGTGTGAATTTTCGGGTAATTAACATAAAAGGTCACAAACCTATTCACTTTGTACGAAACGGTCATAAATCTTTAATTTTGCACGTTTCAGTAATATACGTTTGAAAAAATAACGAAATGGTCATTCCGTCCATCTCCATCCAAAAAATCGTTAGTTTGGTCCAGTCAGCACGCCATGTCACTTATAATATTGGACCGAACAGCCCAACCAAAAACCCTAATTCTCTACCACCCGAAATTTAGGAGACTAGTTAATAAAAAAATAAAAATAAACTGTCATTTTCACTCGGCCGACGGAGCGATTCCGCTCCCCAAATCGCGCCCGCCCTCAGAACAGTCTCCCGACGCCGAACCGATAGCATCGTTGGGTCGGGTCGCCGGCGGAAACCAACGAACGGATCTTGCGGGGAGCTCTTTGAATCCTTGGGTATGTACCAATTTTTTGGGCTCTCTAATTTGTATGCTTCTCTTTGCTTCATGATGTGCTTTCTTCCTTGTCGGATAGTTTAAAGGAAAATTGGTTCAGCCATAGGGAAAGAGAAAGAAAGTGGATGAGTCCGTGAATTCTGTTACCACAACCAATGCTCTCAAGCTATTTCATGAAGATGTAATAGCAGAGGAAGCAGCAGGGAAGAAGATAAAACAGAGCGAGACCGGTGCAGAACCTCAAAAGGGAAGTTCTAGCCATCTAGGAATTTATGTTGGAGAGCTTCAATCCCTTCTTCGTGATGATCCAACTGTCTTTTAGGAACGTTACCAGGTACTATCCGTCTCCAGCGACCCTCCGTTCGTTTCGGCCGGCGTCGCGACCCGGAGATGCTATCGGCTCGACGACGGGGGACTATTCTGATGGTGCGATTTGGGGAGCGGAATCACTCTGTAGGCTGTGAAAACGTTTTTTTTAAGTAACTAGTCTCCAAGATTAGGATTTTTGGTTGGACTATCCAGTTCAATTGGGTTGGGTCATTAAATTTTTTATTAATATTTTAAGTGACATGTCACGCTGACTGGACGAAACTAACGGTTTTTTGGATGGAGACGGACGGAATGACTATTTTGTTATTCTCTCAAACGTATGTTACTGAAACGTACAAAATTAAAGGTTTGTGACCGTTTCGTACAAAGTTAATAGGTTTGTGAGCTTTTATGCTAATTACCCGTGAATTTTCACTATATGTTGGATCTATATACGATATGTTATTTTGGTGTAATATTATATGTTATAACTCATATGTTAGATAAGATTTGATATAATTTATGAGGATAGGTACAATATAATGACTTTTTCCATATTTTCGGGCCAAACCGGACTAAAATGGTTGACCCATTAGCCCTTGACCCACTAGCTCGACCGGGTCCGAGTCAACCCACATGTTGACAACCTTGCTAGCTAGCAAGGCATCGAATTAGTGGAGATATGTTGGCCGCCATTAATTAGTGGAAATGGAACGTTAATTAGTGGTGTCATTAATGTAATGGATGTCGTTTTTAGATGGGATCTCTTGTAAATGGAACCTCCACTTTAACTAATGGGGTCGATTTATTCCTTTTTCACTACTCATGTGGGAAAATTATCATTTGTATTACGTGGTCCAATTTATTCCTTCCACTCCTCGACGAAAGTTAAGGCATATTATTTGTCGTCAATGTTTTTATTGTAAATGGCTAACTTTTTTTAAAAAGATATATAATTTTATGCTTAATTCATTTGTATTTTAAAACCATAGAATAAAAAAAAAAAATTCACAATACCAAACAAATCTCAAACTCCTAAATTACAATAAACTCAAACACCTCATATTCGCTGGAAACTCATTGCGATAATTGGTTAATGTATAAGTTGGACGGGGTGTTGTCCCACATTTATAAAAATGTCAGGATATATATATATATACTGTATAACAATATATATTACAACTAATTATTATCCTGAATTTCTATTTGACGCTCTAAATATTTGAAATTATCGCTCTAAATTATACTAAACTGGCGATTTTACATTCTGTTCAAAATAACATAAATCTTAATACAAAGACCCGCCGCCGGAACCGACAAATAGTAACTCTCTTATTATCGGCTCAAGATAGGGTGCATAACCATGGGTTATGCACCCATCAATAACCAAATCTGGACCCTTCATTTAGAAAATTCAGATCTAAGGATGGAGAATTAAAGGCTATTTTTATTTTCACTAGCTTTCTTAATTGACTCATATCTTTTTCGTTTTAACTCGGATTTTAATTTTTTTTGCACAGATGGAACGAGTTCACCGTGCTCTACAAAATGAGATCAATTTTCAATATTTTTTTAGGAAAAAAAAATTCTGGCCTCTCGGTACCAACTGCATACCATATGGTATCTTCTTCGTTTTTAATTCGTTTTTGAAAACGTTTGCACAGCAGGGATGAGTTCATCATGATCTACTGGATCTACAAATTTCTGGGTGAACAAATTACAGGACCAAAAAATACCACACAATACCATACAATACCACCCTAGTACGGGGTGGTATTGTATGGTATCTTCTTCGTTTTTAATTCGTTTTTGAAAACGTTTGCACAGAAAGGACGAGTTCATCATGATCTATTGGATCTACAAATTTCTGGGTGAACAAATTACAGGACCAAAAAATACCACACAATATGATACTATACCACCCTGGTACGGGGTGGTATTGTGTGGTATACAATGTTAAAAGTCGTAAATTACAATTAATATACTTCTACTATCATGTATTCAACCATCCTACAGTATTGATTTGTTCATACCACCATGGTACGTTTTTCAAAACATAGGTATGCTTTTATTTCAATACCAGTCAATACCATATGGTATAGGCTGGTAAAAAATAGCTCAATTTTTTTTGTTCGAAAAATATATTAAAGTGGATATCATTTTGAAGAGCACAATTAATCTGATCTAACTGTGCAAAAAAAATTAAATTTCGACTTAAAATGAGCGAGAAATCGTCCGTCAAAGATTAAAAAGGGAAAAATTAAAGGCTTTCCATGAGAGAGAGGATGCTGATGTCATGCTGATGTCAATGGGTTACTCATGGTTACTCACCGTAAGGTTACTGACCTGATCCATTCCCCTTATTATCAAATTCGGAAGTCGGATAATGTATGTCATTATTTTTTGCAAACGTGGTGGCTCAAGATAGGGTGCATAACCAAATCTGGACCCTCCATTTAGAAAATCCAGATCTAAGGATGGAGAATTAAAGGTCATTTTTATTTTCACTAGCTTTCTTAATTAACTCATATCTTTTTTGTTTTAACTCGGATTTTAATTTTTTTTGCACAAATGGAACGAGTTCATCGTGCTCTACAAAATGAGATCAATTTTCAATATTTTTGAGGAAAAAAAAATTCTGGCCTCTCGGTACCAACTGCATACCATATGGTATCTTCTTCGTTTTTTATTCGTTTTTGAAAACGTTTGCACAGCAGGGACGAGTTCATCATGATCTATTGGATCTACAAATTTCTGGGTGAACAAATTACAAGACCAAAAAATACCACACAATACCATACAATACCACCCTGGTACGGGGTGGTATTTTATGGTATACAATGTTAAAAGTCGTAAATAACAATTAATATACTTCTACTATCATGTATTCAATCATCCTACAGTCTTGGTTTGTTCATACCACCATGGTACGCTTTTCAAACCATACAATACCACCCTGGTACGGGGTGGTATTTTATGGTATCTTATGGTATACAATGTTAAAAGTCGTAAATGACAATTAATATACTTCTACTATCATGTATTCAATCATCCTACAGTCTTGGTTTGTTCATACCACCTTGGTGCGCTTTTCAAACCATAGGTATGCTTTTATTTCAATACTAGTCAATACCATATGGTATAGACTGGTAAAAAATGACTCAATTTTTTTTGCTCGAAAAATATATCAAAGTGGATATCATTTTGAAGAGCACAATTAATCTGATCTAACTGTGCAAACAAAATTAAATTTCTACTTAAAACGAGTGAGAAATCGTCCGTCAAAGATTAAGGAGGAGAAAATTAAAGGCTTTCCAGGAGAGAGAGGATGCTGATGTCATGCTGATGTGGGCGGGTTACTCATAGTTACTCACCATAAAGTTACTGACCTGATCCATTCCCGTTCTGGCCGCCCTAAACCTTCTGTCCGCTTAAGATCTCCGTCATCTCTCGGAAAATACGAAATTGGTCAGAATTTTGTCAAAACACGTTAAAATTTTGTCAAAGCACCAAAAAAAGAATATCGTAATTGGTCTAAGGCCAACTCTGGGACAGGTTACGGTGATTACTACTTTAGGTAGTTACAAAAATCTATTAATTGAAATTCTCTCTTTCTCTCACTTTCGTGATCTCCAGCCAGATTTCCTTTCCATATTTTTCTAAATCTTTCCGAAAAAGGAAAAAAACCGAAATCAGTACCAATCCATTAGACAAACACTACCACTTTGAAAAACATCAATACCATTGCAGAAATAAATCTATAGCATTACACGAAAACTACCATTGCAGAAATAAATCTATACCATTACACGAAAACTACCAATATAAACAATCTGTACCACTCAATTTACGAAAACTACCAATACAAGGACGACCTACCAATGTAGAAATTATGAAAATTACTACCAATACAAGGACCAGGCCAGAAATTACAACATGGAAAACGCGTACTGTATCCTAAGCCCAAGAATCACTACTCATCGATCGGCATGAAAGTAACACAAAGATCAGAGTTATACATGGCGGAACCTTGGTTTTGGTTTCGAGCGACTTGAACCTGGTGGAGAGAATTCTAGCGAGGCACTGATGTAAGTCACTTCTTCAAGTGATGTATATCACCGTAACCTGTCACCGCCGGCGCGCGGGTTCGGAGAGAGGGACTCAGTTACGGATTCCGCCGGCGGCGGGCCGTCGTTCTTCGTGGCGACGGTTGAGGAAATCATGAAGCAAAAAGGAACCTTTGCATTTGGGGCACTTGGGTTCCACCTCCGACAACATCACGTACATCAGGCACCGATGCTGTCCTGGTCCACGCAGCCGCAGAGGAGGCAGTACGCGTTCCCCGTTCTGATTCAAAGAAAATCCCGAGGGGGGCTGCTGCCGGCGGTGGTCGGGGCTGTTGCCGGCGGTGCGACGGGAGTGGTACGTGGAGGCGGCTGCGACGGGTTTGGCTGGAGGGAGGATAGAACTAGGGTTTAGGTAGATTATATAGAATAATCAGGTGTGATCACTTTTTAATTTCCAAAATTATCCTAAAAAAATCTTGACCCGTAAAATTAAAAAAGAAGAGAAAACAATTAATCAAATGGTATATAAAGAGGTTGCCACCGTGATTACTAAAAAACAAGTAATCACCCTAACCCATTCTGCCAACTCTGGATCGGCGAGGCAAGGTTTGGCTGGCCGACGCCGGATTTTTGTTGACCGGCGACAAGCTCACCAAAATTCAGAAATGGTGTTTGTCAGGTTGGAACTTGGAAGTGAGCTTGTGGATATAGGAGTTTATGGAGTTCGGTATTTTTTAAAATTTATAATAATAAAAAAAATACACGGTAAATAGTAATTTTGTTGACCACAAATAGTCTTTCACTTATTTATTACCAAACCAAGCAAAGCATTGCGCATAACATGGTTCACGAAGGATGAGTCAGTTTTTTGCGATCGTTGACAATGTAATCACCGACGACGTGTGCAATAGTGATATGCATCTGGATCGAGAGTTGCGAAAGGAGGTGAGCTTTCGAGTCATCCTTGAGCTCGTACTTGACTGTCGATCTGACAATACTACGATGCATGTGGACATCATCGTCAACGATCTCGATGCGAATGGTATATCGATCAAACCCGAGATGGAGATAACCACCTTCGAACACGTCCGATTCCCTCACACGCTTCTCGTCGTCCATGATTCTGAACACTCCTTTTAGATATCCGATTCCCGGAGTTCCTACTAACCCATGCACACACAAAAATATTGAATGCAATTACCCCCTTTCGTTATAAGCTAAGGTAAGTTAATTATGAGGGATTTGGAAGAAAGACTAATAATGAACCTGGAGGAAAAATGAGTTTGACAATCGTGCCGGCGGATCCATCGCCCTCGACGACTTCCGCGGTGCCGACGAGGTGAGGCATCAGCTCGTTCACTAGCCGGGAAAGCTCAAGCCCTCTGTACGATTGCCAGACCACACTCGCCGGAGCTTCCACCGGAAATTCGTGACATATCTTCCCTCTTATTACGCCCATCTCTTCTTCTTCTTCTTCTTCTTCATCATGTTTTCTTTTGTACTTCGTTTGAACCCTCTAGCCTATATATTACATGTGATCGTCACCTTGGGTCGTCATCTCCTGTCTGGCCAGACAGAGCCAGCATTTCAAACCACCCGTCTTTTTTTTCATAATATAAATATTTAAATAAAAATATTTAATAAAAAATAATTAAAATTAATTATATCTGCATAATTCATACGTAGATTAAAAATAATCGACTATACAATCATTGTTTTTATAAACAACCACGAAGAGATTTAAATAGGTCTTTTTCAATGTATCTCACTAAATTAGCATTAGCAAATTAGTCGCCAAATCGACTTGGAAACTTGTTCTTAATATAACTCAAAGCTGAAAATTCTCTTTTTTACATTTGCAGTTGTAATTCGTAGAATCAAAACTAGTGGAATTACCGCTGTCGCTGGATAATTTCAGGCTTGTTGGGAAAAAATCGAATAGGCATAAAGGAGAAAAGAGATCCGATTAGGTCTTTATTGCAATTAGAATTCGTTTATAATATAATAAATTAATTTTATATCAATTTATCAATAAGTAATGAGTTGTGCTATAGTGACAAAAATACTCTAATACTATTTATAGGGGTTGTTTTCCATCACCAATATACATATATATGACATATTTTTGTTCCTCCGAAATTTACCCCTGTCTCGGGACAAGGCCCAACCTCCGCCTGGCTGTCTCTACGTATATAGACATATAGTTGTGTTTCATTTTGCTACGTTTTCCTTTTCTTATATAAGCCTTGTAATTTTGTGAAGGCTATGACATGGGATTCTTTGCGTGCTTATCACCAAATTCAATGAGGGTGCATGCATCTAAAAATTCTGGTGGACTGATGAATTCGTCGGAGTATTCATAAGGTTCGAAATAGGCAGATATATAGCATTGAATGGTTAAGTAGACTATATATACTGCTGCTTCTTAACATTTGATGATGGTTGAATAATAAGTTATTGGGTTGGTTTGATTTTCTTCATATAAAAATGGTTTTCATATCATTACAGAAAATCAACAATAGTAAATAAAAACATCGATAATTCGAATATTGATCTAGCGCTACTATCAAACGTGTTGCTTCTCGTTACATTTTTTCCCTTCTTTGAATCTTATTAAATGACTACATTAAAAGAAACATTATATATTTCATCATCATGGCAATCTATGTCAAACCAAACATCTTATTGAAAGAAACATGTTTATCATGTATTACACCAAACCACCCAACCCTTTTTGCATAGTTCGCAAAAATGGTAAGTTACCGGTTGCGGTTCTTGATTATGTGATCACCGATGACTTGAGCAATAGTGATAAGAGGCTTGATGGAGAGTAGGGAGATAAGCTGAGCTTTCGAGTCGTCCTTGATCTCATACATGATTGTCGACCTGATAACACTATGATCCAGCTGAGAATCGTTGTAAATAACCTCAAATCGTACAGTGTAACGATCAAACCCAAGATGCAGGTAACCACCTTCCAACGTATCCGATTCCTTCACACGCGTCTCGTCGTCCATGATTCTGAACACTTCTTTCATATACCCGATTCCCGGAGTTCCTACGGACGGCAAGCTAATTAATAAAATGGAACGGCAAGCTAATTAATAAGGGAGAAGAGTGGCCGGGAAAGTGGAAATCTGTATATGTTATACCTGGAGGAGAAGTGATTTTGAGAACGGTGCCGGCAGATCCATCACCCTCGACGGCCTCCACGGTGCCGATGAGATGAGGCATCAACTCATTTATCTGCCGGCCAAGCTCAAGCCCTCGGTACGATTCCCACACCACACTCGCCGGAGCTTCCACCGGAGCCTCGTGACATATCTCCCCTCTGATCACACCCATCTCTTCTCCTTCTTCCCACCTCAATCGGTTGACCAAAGCAGGCCTATTAATACATTCGATCCAGGCTTATTAATACAATGAACGTGGGCATAGTTGACTTTTAATTTGATAAAAAAATCCTGATCTGTATTCGGGTGGTAAGAAGTGTATTGAATCCATTTAATTTGGATTGATATTTTCTCCATGAAAATTATAATCATAATTATTGTGCCGAAACAGTCACATTAATTAGCCTGGGGCAGTTTATTTGTGAAAATATATGTATGGCCAAAGATGGACCATACCTCCAATCTGATCAATTTATAATTGTTTACGTTAACTCTGTCGTAATAAGATCTGCTAAACCTTATTTGGCCACACCGGAAGCAATTGTTCATGGCCATGAAAAAATCCTTTACGAAGGGGATACATTAAGGGGTCGTTTGGAGAACAGAATTCAGGACATGGATTCATTGAATTCGTAGATTTTGTAGAAAGTTATGTTTTTTTGTTACTTTTTGTATTATGGATTCTAGCTTTAGAGATTTCAAATCTCTAAAATCTGCGGAAATCAAATCTCTCATAACCAGAGAGATTCTGTATCTTGATTCGTGAGATTTTTTCTCTCCTAAATTTTCTCTTCCTTTTATTTATTTATCACATGAAATATATTTATCAACAAAAATTTTTTATATTTCTCGAACCACTCTAATTTTTTATTAAGGATAAATATGTTATTTAATATAAAATGAATTTTTTAGTTTACTTGATTGTTAACAATCACAGTTACCAAACAATAAACATTTTAAAATCTGTTTTCAGCAATCCGAAGAGTTAGAATCTTTAGATTGTTGATATTCTGCAGTTACCAAACAATAAACATTTTAAAATCTATTTTCAACAATCCGAAGAGTTAGAATCTTTAGATTGTTGATAATATGTAGATTTAAACTCATATTCTCCAAGACCCTAAAAAATTTGAACTAAGCAATGCCAAAAATCCAAGACCCTAAAAAATTTGAAAATTTGAACTAAGCAATGCCAAAAAAAAATTGAACTAAGAAGCAATGCCAAAAATCCAAGACCCTAAAAAATTTGAACTAAGCAATGCCAAAAAAATGATGGTCCAGATTGGACAGCCCGACAGGCTATTTGGGCCAGAGAGTCACCGGCCTGTTATCCCTCCACTGCCTAGAGAGGGGAGCCACGCTGCTCTGTGAGTCCAGCCTGACGCTTTCTCTCCCAACTCTAGGAACCGGGTTAGCCCAGTCTTCACCAAGCCTTCCCGGCCCAACTCCAAGCTTGGAGCGGGCAGGCCAGAAATTTGACGTCAGCAAGCCCAGCCCTTGAGGCCGGCCCAATGTGCCACCACTTTAATGCCTCCACTTGGATCACAAGCCCTCGTTACTGAGCTCGGCGGTACTGTTTGCTTCCCTTGCTTATTTAAAATGATATACTAACTGCATTTTCAGCGATGTGGTAGCTTTCTCGTTTTCTCTTTCATAACCCAATAGCAGCCAGCAGCAATGGTCCTCCAAAAAATCTTTAAAAAACTCTTATTGATTGAAGATCTTTCTATTGGGAACGTAGAAGAGTTGATGGATGTTCTTACGATTTGAAACTCACAGAGGAGATGATGGTTTATTACAATCGAATTAAGTGTAATGATGTATAGTATGATAACTATTTCTCGATAAATCGTAATAGGTATAATAACTAGGGAGAAAGAAGACATCAATACTCAGATTCGTAGACTAGTTGAGGTTAACGAGCTGGAATTCGAATTCAGCTGATAAAGTGTCGATTGTGGCTCAAGTTCGAGATATCCTAAAGTCTTTCGAACTTGATTGCTAGCCTGTTGAGCTGAACATGTTATTGCTCAATCTCGATTCGTTTTAATTAACGAGCTTGTTCGCGAGCCCAAACTCAATTAAAGACGAATCATCAAATATCATATAGTGCCAAAATTACTGATCAATCTCAGTCACAGGCGTATAGCAGAAAGACCGCGAAGTAAGTGCATCTTTCATCTGCAGCTTTGGCCCCATTTTTGCACTGTTGCTTGTTCCCCCAAAGACTTTGATACAAGAAATGTATATATACTATTAAAATAGGCAATGACTCATTCCTTTCGGACTAAGTCACTCGTGTTAGAAATGTAGAAGCAATCAAACTATATATTCAACTAATAATAATTCCAGTTGTTTTGTTGAATTGTCAACAAAGGAAAAAGTCTCTCTCTCTGGTAGGGGAAAAAAGTTGGCTTTGTTGGTTGGTTATATTCGAGCACAGGTCGATTCTCACTTTGTAACCCAGGCAGAGAATCTCGTAGAACTTGAGCTATATGAAGAAGAAAAAAAGAAAGGGAAATGTTGTGCTAGTTTTATTAGAGTGGTGATGTAGAAATAAGAATTACTGTCTACCATGATGCCACTTTTCGAATGTTCGTTTACACATGATTCGGTGTATTACAACTTAACACTCAAATGCTAAGGAAAATCTATCGCTCGTTTTGAACCATATGTAGCTTCATCATCGTATAAATATGAGAGTTAATGTAGTTAATTACCATCCCTCCGAATTATATCATTCTCTCTTCATGGCTGAATCGATAGAGTTAATATACAGTTGTACGTTAGAGCATATTTAAAAGAAAATATTATGGTGAGTTGGGATCTATCATTCCGGTACAAGTACCAACCAGAACAGAGAAACATGTATGTGTACAAATGATCTCTCGTTTAACTGCCGAAAAAACAAATCAGAGTCGTTTTATCACCAGTCGGTAGACCAATTGTCCAATACTGGAGCCTGGAGAGAGAGAGGGAGTCGCCGGTCGGCAAACGACAGGTCTGTTGATAAGTCAGAACTCATTAGAAATTGTTGTATAATTTTATTGAAATCAAGTAGGATTTATGTAGACAATTAACTAACATTATCAATGTAACAAATTAAATAACAATATAACAATGCTCGTAGTATAACATAATGTGACAATTAACACTAGCAGCCATGCATATATACATGTAATTATTACTTTAATCTCTCATTTTCATATTAATAAATTCAAAGATGAAGAAAGGTGACAAAACAAAAGTTTTATTATTAATAAAATTTCACATGAAAAAGTCAAAATACAAAGTCTGGTGACTGATTTTACGAGTGACCTTAAACTTAAAGCACTAACCAGTAATTAGCCCTTTATTTGAATTTCTTTCCACCATGACAAGAAGAGCGAATCGTTTACCTCCGTCTGAACAAGACAACTCACACACCCAACTCTGCATTTCGCCGATTCTTTATTCTTCTTCTTCTCCTCCTCCTTCGATTCGAACTCTCCATTTGTATTTTGTGGGCGATTTCAGTGACAGCGGGCCGACACATCTCACTTGAGCTGCTTTCCAATTGGGCTCTCTCAACAACACCTCCTTCCAGTCATATCGGAGCATCAACTCCGAGCTTCCGAGTCAACCCAGAACGAGCAAAAAAAAATCCCATTTTCTTCATCCTCTTTACCCCTGTCTGGTTTGCGTTGAAAATGAGTAAGAAAATCAAGGTCAAAGAGGATACACGCGCAGGAATCGAAGTGGGTTTCACGTGAATAAACAAGTAAGTTTGTCTCCCTTCTTCGTCTTCCTTGATTTGATCGAATTGGGAACCAATGAGTTGAGGCAGCCATGGAAATTTGGGTAGCTGCTGATTGTGGCTATGCTTAATGGCTAAGGTGAATGGTTCAAAACCCATGTGGGTTCTTTTGTCCTTTGTAGAAGTTGGAATTGATTCCTTGATTGTATGGGAAGGGAGAGGGTTTTAACTTTTCCCCCCATTTGTATCTCGTGCAACAAAAGGGGTAGAGTGTAAAGAAGGTAGTATGGCTTCTTAAGGTTTCTGGTTCTGGGGATGGAAATATCTATGGCTGCACAAATTATAGAAGCTTGATTAGGGTTTTCCTTTCCCACCACACGTTTCCTGATTCAGATGTGTCTGAGACGAAAGAGGGGAAACGAAGGGACTTTTTAAGTGTTGTGGTTAATGGGAAACTTGTATCCCATGTTTGACTAGCCACTTTTCCTGCTTGAAAGGAGGGCGGACGGTCTCTTAGGTGCCAGCTGCTTTACTTTTTTTGGCAAAGATCATTTCTTTCAGTTCACATGATACCTGGTACCCAAGAAGCCATTGATTGGCTGGTGTTCTCCCCTCTTTTTTCCCCGTCCTGTGGCTTTCAGCTCGTGCCTTGTCAATTTTCAGTCTCAAAAGTGGTCTTTTGGATTGCTTGGCTCTGAATATACTACAAGTAGTAGTAGTTGATCTTCCAAGCTTGTTATATGATGCAGAAATCTGCCCCTTGCTGTGTGTTCTGCAACATTTCTGTACTCCGTTGAAGTTGCAGCAAGGCTTATGCTCCTGGAAGAAAAAACAAACACAAAATGGCTTATTCAAATTCAAGATCTGTGAGGTTTGTAATTTCTCATGCTCTTGAGTCTTCCATAGTGGGTTCTTGAATAGATGTCTGTATATTTTTGGACTTGTAAAATGGGGGTAATGTTCTTTTCATTATAACAGGTTTAGAGATGATCTTGAATTGACAAAGCATCCAACAACGAATATAGATGGGACAGTCAAGCTTAAATACAACACAAATGGGATTCATATGTCAGAGTCCAGTGCCAAGAACTCTCAGAGAGATGCAAGGAATGGGAAATCGCTGAAGGCCAAAGTTCTGTCTCGAGTTTTCTCGGAGGATTACGAGAGAGTGAAGAGGAACATATTAGATCCTCGAGGGTCAGCAGTTCGAAGATGGTCTAATATCTTTTTGGTAGCATGCTTAGTGTCTTTGTTTGTCGACCCTCTCTTCTTCTACTTGCCAAGAGTTAACAGGACTGCATCTTGCATAGACATCGGGAGACCCCTTGAATATACCCTTACAGCTCTTAGAACAGTAGCAGATGTATTTTACATGGTCCAGATTTTCATACGGTTCCGGACAGCATACGTTGCACCTTCTTCTCGAGTTTTCGGGAGAGGGGAGCTCGTTATTGATCCTGAAAAGATTGCCTCGAGGTACTTTAGATGGAACTTCTGGCTTGACCTTATTGCAGCCCTCCCTCTTCCTCAGGTATCATTAATGAACCACACTGAAAGGCACTCAGTCCCCTTTCTTGAATCCAGAAGGGTGTGTTATGAACTTTGTACTTTTCATTTTTGCAGGTACTTATTTGGCTAATCATACCAAACCTTTCTGGTTCAACCATGGCTAACACGAAAAACGTCCTCCGGTTCATCATCATTTTCCAGTACATTCCAAGACTTTACCTAATTTTCCCACTCTCTTCTCAAATCGTTAAAGCCAATGGGTTTGTGACAGAAACAGCTTGGGCTGGAGCTGCTTATAACTTGATGCTTTACATGCTGGCAAGCCATGTAAGATCCTAGTGAACCTACCCCCGAAAAAACCCCTTCAAAACAGATCCGTACTACTGAAAATGTTTACAATTCCTACTCTTGGAACAGGTTTTAGGAGCTTGCTGGTACCTTCTATCAATAGAAAGGCAAGAATCATGCTGGTTAAGTGCATGCGACAAGGAGAAGCCACATTGCAATTTCAAGTTCTTTGATTGCCAGACGGTTGGCAACTCTGCCAGGGACTCGTGGTTCAAGTCGACCAACGCTTCGACTCTGTGCAAGCCGGATAACGGGTTCTACCAGTTTGGGATCTACGGCGATGCAGCAACTTTTGGTGTTTCATCCACATCATTCTTTGACAAGTACTTCTATTGCCTCTGGTGGGGCTTAAAGAACCTTAGGTATGTCATCTCCCTCAATGCTTCAGTTTCGTTCATGATTCCACTTCCTGATAATGTCAAATCTCAAATCTGCTCCTGGCTGCTGCAGCTCACTGGGGCAGAACCTTTCAACAAGCACATATGTAGGGGAAATAACTTTCGCCATCATTGTTGCAACTCTTGGTCTGGTGCTCTTTGCTTTGCTCATTGGGAATATGCAAGTAAGTAAGGTTTCCTTTTCAGAAGTGAAAATTCCTGAAAGAAAACAACTTTTTGCCAGCTTTGCTCATTTCAGATCTTTTCCTCCTCGCTTTGCAGACATACCTGCAATCTACAACAGTCAGACTAGAAGAGTGGAGGATCAAACGAACCGATGCAGAACAATGGATGCACCACAGACAGCTCCCTCCTGAGCTCAGGAACTCTGTCAGGAAATATGATCAGTACAAATGGCTCGCCACCCGTGGAGTCGATGAAGAAACCCTCCTCAAAGGCCTTCCCCTGGACCTCCGCAGAGACATCAAACGCCACCTCTGCCTCGATCTAGTCCGCCGCGTAAGTTTCCCCCTCTCCTTTCGCTGTACCCCTTTCAGCGCGTGCTAACATCGTTGGAAATGCGTCGAATTGTCCTGTTACATAACAAGAATTTGAAACATTACAGGTGCCACTGTTCGATCAAATGGACGAGAGGATGCTGGACGCCATATGCGAGCGGCTGAAACCTGCTCTGTCAACAGAAGGCACGGTCCTGGTGCGAGAAGGAGACCTGGTGGACGAAATGCTGTTCATAATCAGGGGCAATTTGGACTCCCACACCACCAACGGCGGCCGGACGGGGTTCTTCAACACCTGCAAGATCGGCCCGGGGGAATTCTGCGGCGAGGAGCTCCTGACGTGGGCGCTCGACCCGCGGCCCAGCGTCCTGCTCCCGTCGTCCACCCGCACGGCGAAGGCCATCTCCGAGGTCGAGGCGTTCGCCCTGCGGGCTGAGGATCTGAAATTCGTGGCGTCGCAGTTCAGGAGGCTGCACAGCAAGCAGCTGAGACACAAGTTCAGGTTCTATTCGCACCAGTGGCGGTCGTGGGCGGCGTGTTTTGTTCAGGCGGCGTGGCGGCGGTACAGGAAGAGGAAGGAATTGGCAGAGCTGAGAGCTAGGGAGGAGGGAGAGGATGATGATCGGCGGCGGGATGAGGCGGCGGCGGTGAAAAGGGGTGGTTTCGCGGCGGTGTACACGGCGAAGATGGCGACGAGCACGAGAAAGGGGGTGACGATGATGAAGCATTCTTCTTCTACGGGTTCCAGAGTCGTTAATGTGAATTCGTTGCAAAAGCCATCAGAACCAGACTTTTCTGTGGTTGAGGATTAAGAATCAAGGGGGTTTTTGTTCCTGATTTTCAATGTGTATAGATTATAGACTATGTTACTATACAGCATATACTAGGAGTGGCCACGTGGGTGGTTAATCCGCGGATTGATATCGATTCACCCGCAAACAATCCAATCCGCAAGTATTGGGTGGTTGATGTGGGTGGATAGCGGATTGATAAATCTCCCACCCGCACTTATGGGTGGGTGGTGGGTGAATTGCGGGTCACCCTAATGACCTGCACCCTATTTTCACATGAGAAAATGTTGTTTCTTATACTATCGAATATTAATGATATTTCCGAACCTCACTACACACTGACCATGCATCTAATTCTAAAGTTGGAGAATAAAGAATAGTCTTTTACTACTATTATTAATTATTGTGTTATGTAATATCTATTAGATATTATTCAACGAAAAAAAATATCTATTAGATATTGGATATTGGGATCCAATTATCGTTATATCCATAAACTATTGGAATGCAAACTATCAATCAATTAATTAAAAGTACAAGCAGCCAAAAATCCGTGGCACTGTTCATTAAGAAAAAATCGGAACCAACTGTTCACCAAGGGATTTGTGGGTGTTGCTGCGGGTGGATTTAGCTGAGCACTAGGTCAATCCCAAATTCACCGTTTTAGCTTGCCAAACGTTACCGTTGGATCAAATATAACTTCCTTTCCATCCCAAACTCACATACAACCGCCCGCATTATGTTGCCTCCCTCCTGACCTCTCTCCTCTTCCATTCGACCACTCCTCTCTCCACCATTCTAATCGATTCACACAACCCAGCCTCTCTCCTCCTCCCGACCGGCGGTGACAAGCATGTGAACAACTACAACTACAACGACGAAGGAGTCCTTTCTGTCCGACCACTCCTTTCCGCTTCCCATCCGAACCCTCTTCTGTCCTCCATTCCAATTTCCTCTTTCCGACGGATCCCTCATCTCTCCATTCCAATCGAAGAAGAATGGAAGGTCCCTTCCTCCTCCGCTCCGACGTAAAGCATCGAAATCAATTGATGAACACGCCAACGAACAACCGCAGCGGCACGCATGCGAACACTGGCAGCTGTGAGTACAGTCCCTTTACTAGGCAGAATCGAGTTCGAGATCTCAGGTCTTATTCCCGGAGAATCCCTAAAAACAAATCTCGACGGAGAAGAAATGGCTCCTCCCTCCATCTGATGGCCGATGAAATTGGGTATTGGAGGATGAATGAGAAGAGGGACCAGAAAGTATCAATAGTTTTAGATTCCAACTTTGAATTCCAATTTCCTGCAATTGACTCGGTATCCAAATTGGGTTGAGCAATTTACCACAAAGATAATTGCTCTCCTTCTCAGCCACAGACCAATCTCCTCTTCTCCAGTTTGACGTTGAATAGGAGTTGATTCGTTGCAATGGGAAAGAGGCTGCTCTGTCGTCTTACAGCTGGGTGGAAGGGTGGCTGCCAGCAAAAGGTTGGAAGATCGACACAGAGGATTTCTAGCGAAAAGGGCTCTATCAATAAGGTTCTCCCCTATCCAAATTTCTCTTCAGTGACTACTTGGTCAACTAGATATTGTTTTGCGGGTTGGACAGTTTCAATTTGATGTCATGTTTGAGGAAATATGCAGGCTGCTACAGTTGTTATTTGAAGCAAACAGCTCCAAGTTGTATCATGCTTTCTTACTTTGTTTTTCAAACTCTGCTTATCGGCCTATTGTAGTGCTTTATTTGATAGGTCGGTCTGCCTGAGTTTGTTTGGATTTGAGAGTAGTGACTCATAGATAGGTGTGGCAAAAAAGTTCCAAACGAATTTGATATGGAAAGTTGATGGCAGGCTTCTTCAGAATATCCCTGCAAACCGATCTTTTTTATCATGCTTATGATCACATTCAGTAGTGTTCTTTGATCTCCACATCCATCCCTGATCGATCTAATGTTTGCCTTGAGTCTCCGTATTTATGGTGGATTGTGTCATTCACAATTGGATGTTCTTACTGTCTTGATGTTCATCAATAAACATCTCCACTAAGCTCTCATGGCACCTTTTCTCTAGCCTTTCTTCATTTATTTTCTGTTTTAGCTTACATTTTAGATCAAAATGCAAACCATGAACTATGAATTGCCTCTGTTTGTTGCTAAATCCTCTAATTCCACATTGAGTTGAAAAACGTTAAAATCAGTTTATTGACACATTTTACCTCAATTCTCCTCCTGCTTGCTGAAAGTACAGTATTGATGCTTTCAATTCCTTTGTTTTATATGGTTCGTGTATGTTTCGGCTTATCATTCACATACTGTGTCTATCATTGCTTAATAATGAAAGGATATCATCTTAATGTTTTAAGTTATATCTTAGATCTAAATTACGAGTTGATCATGCAGGTTTTATATACTAATGTTTGTTGATTCTGCTGTTGCAACTTGCAAGAGTTTTTAAAATAAAGGACAGAGTATAGGGCTTCCTAAAGAGATAGTTGTTGGGTTGATCAGGATCCAATCTAATATTGTACATCATTAAATGATTTTAGAAGTTGGACGGTGCACATCTCCATCAAATGCTGCTTCTTTAGAACTTTGGTACTGCAGACATATTTCTAGGATCACGGATCTTTCCTTGCTGTAAGTCAGAAGTTTAGCGGTGAGGGTATCATGGGAAGCTTTGTTAATAATGCGTTACTCTTGATTCTTGATTTCTCATCTCCTGTTCAAGCACTTCTTCCTCAATCAAAAACCACAACTAATGACAAACATATTTCTAAGATCATTGATCTATTCTTGCTGTATGTTTGAAGTTTAGCGGTGATGGTATTATCATGGGAAGCTTTGTTTTGATAATGCTTTGCTGTTGATTCTTGAATTCTCATTTCCTGTCCGAGGATTGGTTTAGTAATTATGACTAACTTCTTCCTCAGTCAAACCACAACTAATGACATTGAAGGTGTACTGCATGTATTTGCTGCAAAATTAGTTTTGGTATTTTGTTTCCTTATTACTTAATTATTTTTCCACCAGTATTGTTCTTATCATTAGTCTGTAGTATTGATTTGTGAGATTAACCACCGTTTTTTGTCAAAGGTAATGCCAACCCACCCAGATGTTTTCATGGTAATGTTTGTTAAGATCTTGATGCAACAACCAAGAATGAATTGTTTGCAATTGGATGGGTCAATTTGCTGTTCTTATATCATGATGTGGCATCACTATGTATTTTTAGCTCCATGTTTTAGAAATCCTACCGTACTTGGTGGTTGGACAGGAAATACCGAATACTAAGATCTCAAGTAGTAGGCGGTTTTAGTGAAACGAAATGGTTGAACCAACATTAGTAGAAAATACCATACCACTGACTTTTCTTTATGTAAAGTATAATTGTGGTTTCTTTCTCTTATATATGTTTATGGCCAGAACAATAAATGAGGAATTATGAAGTTGGAGCAAGATTATTAACATACTCAAATAATGGATGATAAAATAAAGTATAAAATACAAGAGTTACAAAACAACGATAAACTCAAACCGAAATATAAAATATACACCCGACAATTTAGTTGTTCCGCGGCATAGCGCGGGCCATAAGCTAGTAAACTATTAATTGTAGTAAATCGCAAAATGCGTAAGTTTTCTCGACACAATACGTTGATAGAGTAATGAAAAATTTAATGCAAATACTACGATACACATGAGAAATAGTGGGAAATGTCTAAATTGATACAGTCTCACTAATTTGCTATGAACTTAATATATATGTTACTCAACTTTCGTACTGCCTAGTTGAAGAATTGCTTTTGCGGGTAACCCACAACCCAACCGCACCAATCCGCCACCCACCCAACCCAACCCGCAAAAGAATGTGGGTGGATGACGGGGTCATAATTATACCGACTCGTTAGTAAGCGGGTGGCTCAATTTTAAACCAAAATTCACCCAACCCGCTCATTGCCCACCCCTAGCATATACCATTATAACTTATGCTTATACTAATCAATTGAGTTACTCCAGTTATTTCGATACAACTTGTATGTTAGTCGGGTTACGATAAATCAAGTTAGATTGCAGATTGATGGAATTTCAAGTTCATCGGATTTCGAGCTGTAGGGCTACTAGTCATTAACTTCTGCATCAACTCGAATTACGGAATGAATGGATGTGAAACAGGTTTGCAGTGCAACATATGAAGTAGGGAAAATGAGGTTAAACGCAAACTTGTACAAATTGAACATCAGCTACTTCTGCAGCTCTCATTATGGTATCTGCATCATCATCAACGAATAACACCAATTGGGTTTGCTCCATTTCTTTCAGTACTTCTTCTGTCACTGAAAGTGGAATTGAGCACTTCTAGTTTCTGCAAATAATTACGATGTAGAAGAAGACTTGAATATAATTCAATATTTGTAAATTATTATCCAATATTATTATAGAAATCACAAAATGACATATATAAAATTAAAAGGTCAGCTGGTGTACTGCTGAAACATACTATACTTAAAGTACTCCTAGTGAGATATCTCTATTTAGATTCTAGACCATGAATTAAACCGAGTTTGGTGTATGATACTATACTCTAACCTCAAATGGATAAATCTCAGCTCCCGATTCTCTAAATCCAAACTCGAATTTCAATTTAATGGAAAACTAGAATCGATCGTTGAGATTTTTTCAGAGCTTATCCAAATACATCTAATGGCTAGATCACGTGGAGCATACTATACTCCTGGTGTATACCAGTCATTACTATATAAAAAAAATTAATACAATTCTAACAAATTACATAATGATTCTCATGGTTAGACAAAATCATCTGAATGGTACAATTCACCGTTCAAGAACTATAAAATCCTAGAAGCTGACATAAACTTACTTTTGACAATTAAGCTAATAAGATGTCCATTGCGGCTCAGTAATGTCTTTAAGAATTGGTGGAGATTGATCCAAAGGTTTGTGGGGATCATATTAAGAAGCAGAGTACTTCTCCACCATCTACAAAGTAACAAAGATAAAAAGGGCTTATCATGAACAAGGATGGGCCTATTGACACCATGAGTGGGTTAATATCAGTTATATGTCTATTGATGAATAAGAATCCCACTTCTTTCAAGTGGGGAACTCATGTTTGATTTCTCTTCTCTTGTTCTTATCAAAATGGACAATATCTATAAATAGTAATAGTGCTTCTATTTTCAAATTTCCATATACAAAACACTCATGCTTCGTCACGTAGCGCACCACGCCCCCCTCAAACGAAAGCCGACTCATGGGCTTGAAGTTTGCACAATCCCATCACACCATGTGCTTGAAGACAACTGTTAATATTGGGGGTTGTGGAGATACGAACACACAACCACTTGGTCAGACCAG